TCTCGAACCCGCGGGCTCAGGCAATCCACTCACCTCAGCCTCCCAAAGGCGTGGGATAGACAAAAATTTAAAACAAATAAACCCCCAAAGTACTACAAAGTTGCAGAGTTTATAAATCAAAACTCATACAAAACTCTGTGAGAGTGTTTTTATCCTCAAGGCATTGTCACAATCCTGTCTGAACTTTTTTTTTATCCTTGTAGCCTTGAAAAATGGACTGCTTTATACACAAGTAGTTTTTACCCTCAGTGTTATTTTTATACTTTGTACATATCACTTTTAAGTGACTATTGTTATAAATGCAAAATAACTGTAGCTGAGTAATAAACAAGATTAATTAAACTGGAAAACCAATAAACAGGGCAAGATTAAAGTCTATGGTAGAAAACAGAGGAAAGAGTTAGTATGGGCCGGGCGTGGTAGCTCAAGCCTATAATCTGAGCACTTTGGGAGGCCAAGGTGAGAGGACTGCCTGAGCTCACAGGTTTGAGACCAGCCTGGGTAACTTGACGAGACTTCTCTGCAATAAATGAAAAAAATTAGCTGGGCCTGGTAGCATGTGCCTGTGGTTCTGACTGCTTGGAAGGCTGAGGCAGAAGAATCGATCGCCTGAGTTCGGTAGGTTGACCCAGGGGTGACCGTGGGCATGCCACTGCACTCCGGCCTGGGCTATGGAGTGAGACCCCAACTCGATAAAAAAAAAGAAAAGAGTTAGTATGAGAAGATCTTCTAGAACTGAGAAATAATAATGATGACTCTGAACTTCAAGGAACAAGCCCACTGTGACTACTTTTTCTGGTCTAGGATAGGACCTGAAGAACCACAGAGAGGGTCCTGCTGACCCTCCATCCAGGAGCCTTAGAAATACCTCTGCTGTCCTGGAACTGATAGAAAAAACTGTCCTCCTGGAATATTCAAGCATAAAATGACCTTGAATACGAAAGCTATGTTCTTTATCCTAGTTTTGAGCCTTCAATCTGACCAGCCATCCCCTAATCTATATTCATTTAGCTCACAGAATTAAACCTAAAATACTATCAATCTCCTAAATAACTGATTAACATCCTGTTCGCCTTTGATCTGGGTTTGATTGTGAATTATTACTTGTCCTTGATTACTTACTCTTACTTAGACTCTTTACTAGGTCTTACATCATTGCTTCTTGTCTTACCTGGATTTGTTGCTTTAAATAACTCTCCTTCAACTACAGGGTCTACTTTTCCCCGAGTCTCCTAGAAAAGCCCCAACTTCTCCACCACCAATTGTTGCCTCTATGGGCCATCCTGGACTCCCAGAGGAAGAAGGTTTTTTGGGACCATAAAGATGGACACAGAAGGCAACATTTTCTGAGTAAAACAAGTCTGCCTCCTCTCTCTGAATTTGCTAACATGGATTAGACATATACTTGATAGTTTCAAAGCTAAATTTTTCTTTCTTAAACAATTGACCCCTGAACAATGTAGGGGTTGGGGCCGCTGACCTCTACACAGTTGAAAATCTGTATATAATATTTAGCTCCCCTAAAACTTAACTACAAATAGCCTACTCTTAACTGGAAACCTCACTGATAACATAGTCTATTAACACATATTTTATGCTATATGTATTATATACAGTATTATTACAATAAAGCAAGCCTAGAGGAAAGAAAATGTTATTAAGTAAATCATAAGAAAGAGAAAATGTATTTACTATTGTGTCACAGTAGCCCCAGATTAGACAGGGCACTCATATAATTGATGCGGATTTTTCAGGTCAGCCTGGGCTTCAAGAGTGTCAGCTCAATAGGTCAGCCAGCCAAGCCCCAGAGCAGGTCGTGGAGGGCTGGTAAGCCTAGTCCAACAAGTGTCAGCTCTAAAGGCCTGGCAAGCCAAGCCAAGCCCTGAGTGTTGCGATTGGGTGGGGCGGGGAGGGACTGGCAAACCTAGCCCCCAGGGTGTTGGCTCTAACGGGCTGGCAAGCCAAGTCCTGAGAGTTTTGCTGGTTTGGTAGGCTTGCAAGCCTAGCCTCCTGGGCGCCTCAGCTTTGGAGTCTCACCTTTCTCCAGCAGCTCTCCTGGTTCAGCTGGCTCTGTCAGCTGGCAAGCCAGCCTCTGGGGTGCATGACTTTTCAACTGCGATGTTCTCCTGCAGCTCTTCAGCTCTTCTGGTTGCAGCTCTTCAGGGTCAAGGTTCTTGTCTCATGCCCAGGAAGAATGAGGGACACGGACAGCCAGAAGGTGAGAAAGCAGGATTTACTGAGGACAAAAGACCTCTCACAGCGGGAGGGGACCCAATGGGGTTGCCTGTCTGGGGCTGAAAACCTTGGGCTTATATAGCCCTAAGTTCAAGCTGATTGGCTAGCACTAGTTATGAACTATCGCTGTCCTTATTGGCCAGTATTAAGGTAGGGACCTCATGGTGAGCTGATTGGTTGCTTTTCAATCCCAGCAGTGAGGACTTTAGCTTTAGCTTGAGAGACTCACAGGGAGCTTGTTTACCAGCAGGAAGCTTGTTTACCAATACTGAGCCTGAGAGGCCTGCAGAGAATTCACTACAGTTACCAAAGGACCCGCCTGTCTGCCTAGCCTTTCTTTAGCTGTCTGTATGCCTAGCCTTTCTCTAGCTATCTATCTGTCTGCCTAGCCTTTCTCTAGCTATCTGTCTGTCTGCCTAGCCTTTCTTTAGCTATCTCCTGTCTCATAATGTTTACCTGTTTTGAAAAAATCATGCAGAGGACAGTTTTGCAAAGATATGGGCTTATTGCTACTTACAGGAGGAAACCGATGGCAGTTGGCTATACAAAGCTCTCTGCACCCCAATAGACATGAGGAGAGACTCTATGCCCCCTCCCAGCATGTGGAAGGGAGCAAGATGCAAACAAGAGCATTATATGCAAATAAGCTGAAACAAAGATGTTTGCTCTCTTAGTGACTGCCTTGAGTATGCAGGTGTGCGTTTTGGCCCAGCACAGACGACCTTGACCAAGGGCCATCCTCCCAATCAGGGAACAGTCATCAGCAGGGGAGAGGGATTAGGGCATATGTCCTGCATTTACCTCACAACTATTCATTAAGTGGACCATCATAAAGGTCTTCGTGTTCCTCATCTTCACATTGAGTAGGCTGAGGAGGGGAAGGAAGAGGAGGGATTGGTCTTGTGGTTTCAGGGTGGCAGAGGTGGAAGAAAATTCCCATATGAATGGACCTGCACACTTCAAAACCGTACTGTTCAAGGGTCAATTGTATCTCTTTCTGGAGGCTTCTTCTATCATGTTTAATGTCTGAACGATGTGACATTCCTTAATCAGATTATCAGAGATTGGATGTTGAATAACAGAATGAGAGAATTGTGTTTTATTTGACCTAGATGACAGCAGGGAGGATGGACGTACTGGTGCTTGGAAAGACGAATAAAATAAAATGCGAGGAAGGAGATAAGCTTCAACTTACAGTCTTTGGGATGTTGAAAAGAGAAAAACTACAGTTGAAATCTAGGGTTCATATCTTCATAAACATGAGAACTACATGGAACAAAGTCAACTCTCCAAGGGGATGATATTTTATGTTTTCAGTCAGAAAGCTGGACTGGTGCCATTGAACTGGATATGAAATGGAAGACCCTGCTATTTAGTACACCTGTATCTCACAAAACTGAGAAACCTCCTCTTGGGAAATAAACATCCTAGATACACAGTTAAGAGAACATGGACTTCACAAGGCAGACACACACACTGTGATGTCTGCCTTGTGACAAAGAATTCCTCGGTAACACTGCAAGACTAATGCAGTCAGCTTGCCCAAAGTTGGTCAAATCACTCTGACAAATGTATGAAAGTAGTCATAGACCATAAGCACCTTGGGGTTACATTTCTCAGAGTCAGTCCAACCATTCTTGTACCTACCATAGGTTGAGTCCATGAACACCCCTACGACTATCCTTCTGCCACACTCTTCCACCCATCTCCTGTCACTACTTGGTGTTCTCCCTCAGGTCTCAACATAGGTTGCACAGCTTGCTGTCTCCCTTTGCAAGAAAGGGGGCAAAGAACTTGAGAAATTTACCTATATGCCTTTGTTAAGTAGGAGCGTATGCCTCAGGCCAGATATAAACTTCAGGAGAGTGAGTCAAGAAGGAACAATGCATCAGAAGAGTGGAAAGGAAATAATTTTATGAGAAGAATAAAAGAAAGATACACATTAGCAGGACACAGTCACTGCAAGTAGAGGCGGAGTAACTGATCAGCTGCATCTCCGACTATTTTTTTTTTTCCTTCCAGGTTATAAAGGCCGAAAGGACCAATTCGGGTCAACTGACCTCAGCAGCATTCAATTGAAGAATACCTGATGCAGCCTCTTCAATCAGGTTGTGAATTATCTGAGGGTAATAGTTCACGGGCTCCTCCTCCCACCAAATTAGGACAGGATATTGCTGGATAAACAGTTCTGAAATGCTAACATATTATCATGATAAAAATTTATTTCTCATTTATTACAGTCCCTTGGTCTGGATCACTTTGTCAATCCAAGATCTCAAGCAGAAATACTAGCAACATATTATGTGGGATGGCAGTATATTTAAAATTAAACTATATGGCAAATATAGCACAAAATATGAAAGGGACTCACAGCCACCACAGCCTCAACCTGCAGGGTTCAGGTGACCCTTCTGCCTCAATCTTCCAAGTAGCTGGAACTACAGGCATGCATCATCACACCTGGCTAATTTTTCTTGATTTAATGTAGAGATGAGGTCTCACTGAATTGCCCAGGCTAGGTCTCGCTGAGTTACCTAAGCTGGTTTTGAACTCATGGGTTCAGGCTATCCTCGCAACTTAGCCTCCCGAAGTGCTAGGATTATAGATGTGAGCCACTGCACCTGGCCTAATACAAATATTTTTAAAAGGCATAAATAATAAGACAATTTTGTGATATTGGAGAAAGAATAGGAACAAAACCCAATGGAAGACACTAGAATGTCAAAAAAATGGACCCACACATTTATAATCTGTTGACTTTCTACAAAAGTACATACACATTTTAATGGATAAAGGATAATTTTTCAAGACATAATACTGGAACAATTGGATATCCTCAGTAAAAAAAAAAAAAAATGTTAATAAGCCCAAACCATATCTCACTCTGTATAAGAATATTAGCTCAAAATCATTGGTTTAATGTAAAAACCTCCAAAAATGAAACTCCTTGAAGAAAACACAGGAGCCAATCTCTGTGACCATGGTCTAGGCAAAATTTTGTAGATATGACACCGAAAGTCAAGTCTACACAAGGTAAGTTTTTAATAATTTGGGTTTTATCAAAATGAAGAATTTCTACTCTTCAAAAGATACCATAAGAGCACTGAAAGGCATGCCATAGATTGAAGCCTAATATTTGCTTGTCACATAGCTGCTAAGGCCCCTGTATCCAGAATTTACAAAGAACTCTCAAAGCTCAGTAATATGAGAACAACTAACTAAATTTTTTAAGTGAGCAAAAAAAAAAAAAAAAGAAACATGACTGGAAAATAAGCACCAAAAAAGATACTCAATATAATTCATATTTAGGGAAATCTAAATTAAAACTATAGTGAGATACCACTATTCATTTATTAGAATGGCTAAAGTTAATACAGCCTGGCCATACCACATGCTGATAAAGAATGTGGAGAAATTGGAACTGTTGTACAATGATGGTGTGAATGTCAAATGGTTCAACTACTTTGTAAATGAACTTGGCAGTTTTTAAAAAGCTAATATACATCTACGACGCTAAGCTCTGAAGAGCATTCATAGCAACTGAAACTTCTGTCTCCTTCTCAGAACTTAGGTTTTAGGTGGCAGTAAAAAAATCTTACAGGTGCTTTAGAAAATAGTTTGGCAATTTCTTACAAGTTTAAACTTACCATATGACACAGCAATCTTGTTCTAGGTTTCTCACCCATTCAAAATGATAATGTAAGTTCACACAAAAATCTGCATGTAAATATTTATGAAAGTTTTATTTACAATTATGCAAATCTGTAAACAACCCCATTGTCCCTCGCCTGAAAAATGAATACACAAATGTTGATTGATCCACACAATTAAACTGTACTCAGCAATGAAAAGAATAGAGTACTGTTACACAAATAAACATGAATGAACCTTAAATGTACTATACCCTAATGAAAGAAACCAGACTCAAAATTCTACATACATTTTAATTTCATTTTATGACATTCTTAAAAAGGCACAAATGTAAGCAAAGCCTAGATCAGTGGTTGCCAGGAGTCTGAAGTTGGGGAAAAAATTGATAACAAAGTAGCATGAAGGAAATTTTTGTTATGACGATACAATTTTATATCTTGATTTTCTTTGTGGTGGTTAAATGATTGCATATATTTGTAAAAACTCATAGAAATTGTCATTAATAAGAGTGAATTTTACTGTATGCATATTATGCCATAATAAACATGAAAATATCAATGATGTTGGAAGATAGAATTATGAATGTTTTTATTTTATTTATTTTTTTATTTTTTGCTCACAGGTCTACACATCTGTTTTTGCTACACAAGATATTTAGCCCTTCATATGCAAGGCTTCAAAAAATTTGGTTACTGAATGTTTTTAATATTCTCTTGATAGTGTTTTTAAAATTTTCTCTGGGATAACTATCCATTGCTTTTATAATGAATAAGAAAGAGGAAACTTTTAAAAAAGACCCACAAAAACAAGATCAGGGACTTTAAAACAATAAACATTTCTTATTCATTAGGTTAATAATGTCCAGGTCTTGTGAACATGCCAATGATATGATTAAGAATGGCATCCTCAGAAGTATTAGTTAGAACATCAATTAGACAATATTACTAAGAATCATGTTCATATCCTTTGACCCAGAAATTCCACGTATAGGTATATAACTTGAAAATGTTAGATTATGTGCACCAACTGTTAATTGTTTTTTGTTTTTTGTTTTTTTGAGTTGGAGTCTCACTCTGTCACCCAGACTGGAATGCAGTGGCATGCTCCCAGCCACCGCAGCCTCAACTTGCTGGGCTCCAGCGATCCTTCTGCCTCAGCCTTCCAAGTAGCCAGAACTACAGGCATGCACTACCACACCTGGCTAATTTTTTATTTATTATAAAGACAAGGTCTCACCAAGTTGCCTGGGAGGGTCTCAAACCCACGGGCTCAGGCAATCCACTCACCTCGGCCTCCCAAAGTGCTGGGATTACAGGTTGAGCCACCAAACCCGGCTAATTGTTTTAAATTAGGAACAATTCTAAATATTTGGAATGATCAACAATGAAATGACATATTTGTTATTGAACATGTCATAGTTTAACTCACGAAAAATTTGTCATTGAATATGACAGTTTAAAATTATGAGTAATATTTATATGTTCTGATGCATAGTTTAAGAATCATGAGTTAGATTTATATGTTTTGATGCATAAAGATTTTTAAGACATACTGTTAAATAAGAAATGCAAGTTACAGACAGTGATTACGATGGCTTTCTAAATTGTTTATTACATGGTAACTAATTGCTAAGTGCTTTAATTGCCTTGCTTAATGTCAGTGATAGCCTTCACTATCATAATATGTTAGTAATATTATTAACCCTTGTTTTATAAATGAGAAACTTGAAGCAAACAGTTGAGTGTGCCTTTTCTAATCATAATCATACTGATATTCTAGAGAACTTCTCAGAGATATTTGTCTTCCTCTTTCATACCTTAAAACCACTTGGTGGAACAGGTTCTAAGATATCTATGAGAGCAAATTAACATCTCTGTGAACTATTTTGTTCTTTTCTTTGGTCCACACACTTCAAATATAGAGGAAACTTCAGCTTCTTACTTTGGTTTTGGTCCCAAGGAGAAGCTCTGATATATGTTAAGGTACAAAAATACAAGCTAGAGTAGGGTCAAGGCATTAGACGATAAAGCTACTTACATGAAAGCAAGATTGAAGGGACAACTTTTTTGGGTGAAGGGGAGTTTCTTGCTTGTCTTATTTAGAGACAGACTGTCTTTAAAAGCTACAGTTCAAATAGGAATCGCCATGATGTAAAGGAAAGCAAATGCACTGATAGGCAGGTCACTTAAATGATTCAATTTCTAACTCCCAATCACCATCAACCACACAATCAAGAATAGTTTATTATAAAACATTTACATAAAGTTACAGGAATATGAGGCATTAGAATAGGTAGGAATACAAACATCATTCGTGTATGAAGCAGTCCTGCTCCTTAGTGACCATTAAGTCAAATTTGAATTTGGAGGCAGTTGTAGCAGTCAACAACATCTTAAGATGAAATCTGTTCCTAATTAGCTGAAGGATAGTGTGCTTTTGAACACTTTGTTAAAGCTCTCTGAACTTCAATTTTCTTATTGCAGTTGAAGAGACTGGATTCTGTAATTTCTAAAGAAACTTTAGAATAGACTTTCCCCAAATAATCTTAAAAACAATTATATATATATACACATATAGCCATATATACACATATAACTGAATATACAGCATATATATGTTATTAGAATAGTATTAGGCAAAGAGATATAAA